TGAATCCTCCCTTTTGTAAAAGGACTACTACTATAATTTATGGGCTTGTATTAAGAAAAGGTTACAAAAGAAGTTTAGAATAAGGTCTGTAAGCAACATCATTCATTAGTTTTATAATTTCAAATTACAAAGGTCCTTCCGCGAATTGAAGTTGTGAATTTATTGTTAGTTATCCAAAAGATCACAACACTGCTAAATCATTAAAATGTTGATAGGTTAATTCGCTAAGCGGGATCGTTATAAAGGAAAAATGAGCCGAACTAAAACTTTTGGTTTGTTACTCAAATGCATTCTTCAAAATACCCAGCAGCTCAATGTTAGTATTAGTACACAAAGGTTCAAATTTTTCTTCACTATCTTACCTCAGATAGGAGGAACCATAAGAGCACGCCTAAGTCATTGGCCCCGGTTCAGACGAAGATTCAGCCCGTTCTTCTCTAAGAACAGACCTTGGAACAAAGGTCAGCCCCCGACCATGGCGTCGACCGAAGCTGACATTCGAAGGAGTTGTGTCTGAGGTTGTGAGCGTGGACAGTGCTGAGACAAGACCGTCCATGCTAGCTTTGTCTTCCACTTCCATGGCGTCTGATGAAGCTTCTTTTTCTTCTTTATGTTTCAGCTTTGATACACGTTGCCTCTGAATTTTCTCTCTTTGCTTCTTTGAGGGTTGGGTCTTCTTGAAGAACTCAAATGTCGTTGGGAACTTGTGTTTGTCAACTAAGTGCCGATGCCGGGCTTTGTAGTTCTTGAACTTCAATCCACACCCTTCCACGAGGCACTCGTACTGCAAATTATGTTCATGAGAGCAGAAAGAAGGAATATTCAGCATCAGATCACAGTCACTAACAGTTGGAGCTCTGCTTCAAAATGATATTTATAGCTGCACAAGGAGATGAGAGTATATACAGTGCATACCATGTCGTAACCCCGGGCAACTTTCGCTTGAAAGAAAGAGTCATGTGTTTCAGATATGTGGATACTCAGTAGGCGAGACGTAGGGTAGACCCTTGAGCATACTGAACAAGACGCAGTGTGCCGTGCCTTATAGTGATCTTCAAAATTCTCCAAAGATTTCAAGCGCTCAGGGCAGCCAACAATGGGACAAGAGATTCTTCTGCTGAAAACAATCAAGCTCATGACCATCGTGGAGAATTGTGAATCAAAGTTGGAATTGAAACTAGTCTACAAAAACTCTATCAGTGAGACAGTAATGATTGCTATATATATTGGTTGCCACTTCAAAGGTGAATATTGAAAGAGAACTAGTTACAAAGCAGTGATTCAATTCATGGCCAATTGGTTACTATTTGCTAGAATTCTTACACGCACTACCAACACACATGTGAACTACACATATGTAAAGAAACATTCAACTCTGGTAAGAAATAATCTAATCTGCAAATTCTAGTCATTGCCATAGCTAATTGAATTCTTGACATTACAAACACCAACGAGCTCATCAGTGAAGAAAGATAAATACCTGCTTTCGGTTTCCACGATTCTCTGCAGATTGTTGATTTCAGCTTCTGTTAAGTCTAATGCTACCTGTATATTAAATCCTCCTTAGGACATCACTCCTCCAAGCATATATTTTTGGTAAACAAAAAAAAACTACATAATACTTATAACATTGTTGTTCAATCATCATATCATATCATATCATTGTAATGAGATGAACAATTGTTTTATCCAAATTGACAAACCAGACCTAATTAGAAGACCAAAAACTCGAAAAAATCTTCCCAAGTGAATTCCTCTACTACAGAATAACCAACAGATAGAAACCGAATAAGTATTATCAGATACAGATACGAATTCCCCAAAAAGCCAGAATAATTTCGACCTTAAAAATTCCCAGAATCGCGGCCAAGCTAATACGAATATCATCAAAATTTCAAGAGGAACATTCCAGAAAACCGAAAAACTCTTTCGATTGGAGAAATGGATCATGTAGAGTAATCCCTCGGAGACAGCATTCGATCGATTTCAGATACGAGAAGGAGTACCTGTTTAGCCAGAAGTTCGCGCTCGACATTTCCGGAAGCGAAGAAGGGAGAATCGGGAGGAAATCTTCGTCGGAGAGGAGTCCAGTACGGGATGCCTAGCTCGGCGACCGTGTCTACCGCCATGCCCATAGCCATCGCTTCCAGAAATTCAAAAAATCACAGACAAGAACTGAAATGAAGCATCCAACTGAACATTTCCTCGGCTCCGGTTTAGAACGGATCCTTTCTCGGACTTCGTATGATGGTATCCACTTTATCAATTGGCCCAACTCAGGCCCACGCTCAAGAAACGTAAATTAATTTTCAAAATGATGATTATGTATATTTCAAAATAGATATTAAAACTAAATTTTACATCCATTCGAAAATATAGTTTTATCAAATGATGATTAATATTTCAAAATAGTTCTTTACAAATTAAATGTTATTTGATGAATACTTTTTCGGCTAGTTTCCAAAATGATCTAAAGAACGACTACTCATTAGATCACGTGATCTAAAAAAATAACAAATTGGCAGAAAAAAAAATATTAAATAATATTTACTTTGTAAAGAACAATTTTGAAAAGGAATTTGGCATCAATAACCAAAAATAAATACAATTAGTTTTTAACCAAAAATTTTTTATGTGGCAAAATCTAGTCACTAGATTAGAACTTTTGGTTAGATTGCCA